ACGATCAAGGGTAGGCATTTAACTGAGGTGGTTTTTCAGTCCACAGTCCCTCATATTCTAATTTACCTTACAGACAAGTAAATCTACCTACATAAAAAGTGTCTCAAAGTGGCAGCTTTTTTCAGACATTTTTGAGTGAAAGGATGATTACGTTTGGGATTTAACACAGAATTGGATCCGTGGCGCTGAATGCTCTTTAGAAATACCATCCTCCATCTCACCAAAGAAATGTGCACACACCTCTAAAGACAAAGTCTCTTTTTTTTTTTGAGAAAAAGGAAAATAGATGAGCTCTTCTGCCTTCTTCTAAATGTCCACCAGGTGGCAACCAAGCTAACTTATCACTTTACAGTACAACAAAGCTCTTTCCGAGTTCAAGATCATGTTACCAATTCAAGATCATCAAAATCAAACAATAAAATAAGGCTGTACACACTATTCAAGACGTGAACAGAAGTGATGCAGAAGCCAAATGAGTCTGCAGAAAACCTCAACACAACTAGTTAAAATCCAAATAAAAGAGGGGCTCCCCCTCCCCCCAACAAACCAGCAACACAGCAGCTCTGAGGTCTCAAGGAGGCAGAAAAAGAACAGACTTTTTACATCTGCACGGAACGAACACCAATCCATGATCCCTCCGAGCGCCCACTGGAGGGAGAAGTCACTTTCAGACCACAGGTGAGCCCCCACAGGACATAGTGAGAGATCACCCAACCCTTGACATGAATTTCGGAGGATTTACTCAGCTTTAAAGATCCGTTTGAATGGGGATCATGGGCTTCACTGACGCCAAAGGAACCGATTCAAAATGTGGGAGCCACGTATGACCGGGTCGAGGAGGAAGTGACTCACAGGGCATTTCTGTCTAAGAAACAGCTTGCTCAAGTGAAATCTTTCTGGTAAGAGATTGCCAGGGAAAATCAGATGAGTGGTGCCGTGGTCCGATTCCTAAGGCATTCTGCATCCTGCAAACTGAAAACAAAAACTCACTGCCATCAAGTCAATTAACACTCGTAGCTACACTAAGGACGGAGCAGGGCTGCCCCTGTGGGTGTCTGAGGCTGTAAACCTTTACGGAAGTAGAGAGCGTTCTCTATCTCTACACGGGCTGGTGAGTTCAGACAGCTGATCTTGTGGGGAGCAGCCCCACACCTGCACATTTCTCATGGGAAAAAGGGTTTCTTCCCTAGAGAAATAAAAGCCACAGCACCAACAGATATAATGCACTCCTGTGCGCTCACTGAAGC